AGCGATTACGTATGGTCCCGTGCAGCTTGGAAAACACGCGGGGAGAACGCTGAAGGATCACTTCTGAGAATTGCGACTCTTGAAACAACAAGCCACGAGAAAAACAACCATTACCGTTGAATTGTTCCGTTTTGCTCGAAGCAAACAGCTCGGGATACGAAAAAAAAAAAAAATAAAGAAAGAAAGAAAAATATTAGAAATTTATTAAAATCACACAAGAAATTCTGTGAATCTGCTGGTTTCAAAATTCCGGGAAATCTTGCTTTCGCGAGTTGTGGATCGTTTTATCGTCGATAATCTTCGTCGTTTAGATTTAGAGCTGAAGAGAGAGAGAGAGAGAGAAAGAGCGCGTTGGCATGTGGATCACGATTAATTTGACGTGCTTGCAGAGCAGCGTAAGTACAGGCAATTAGCCGGAGCTTCGGTGTATAAGTTTAACGGGGCGTTTTGTTCCTTCTCTCTACGGTGGTTTCTCAACCTCTAAATTTCTCTCTGTTTCCGGCTTAATTTATATCGCTCGCTAACTACCCGGCCGTCGAGAAAAATGCGCGCTGAATGCGTGGCGATAAAGCAAAACGAAGAGTGAAGAGGCCGCGTAGCACGACGGAGAAAACAGATTCCACGGGGTGGCTGAGGACAAAGGGAGAAGGAAGGAGGAACGAATGGAAGGAAACTGCGAGGCTCACGGTAGAAAATTTCGTAATAAAGCGATTTTACGCAGAGTACATTGTTGTTTCAGATTAAAATTTCTCGTTGCGTGTACCAATTTCTCTCTCGCTCTCTCTTTATGAAGCTTAACGAGATACGGGATAACATTATTCTGTCAGAGCGCCAGCTGTTGTTTGGAAATTAAGCTCTAGGCAATTTAATATTTTCGAACAAGAAGCTTTCGTTTCTTTTGCGCTGCTTTTTATAATGGCTATTTCGGCGAGTTCGTCGTCTAATACGTTCCTGATCCACTATCCCACCGTGTCCAGATAATTCCACGGTCGGATCGCACACTTTCTGCCGCTGTATCACCGATGATTTTCAAATCTAACATTTTTGTGAGATATTCAGTGGTAAAATATTGAAAAATCGAGTAAACTACCTTAAATTATGTCGTGATCTGTGTAAAAAAATTATTTAACCTCATAATTTTATCTTCGCTATAGCTATTTTCAGTCGACGACCGATCAATCTGACGAATTCAGTCTCGCTACGAGAAAATAGACATATTAAACAATTTCTAAATACAGAATTTACAGAGACAATAACGTTCGGCAGCAAAATGGACGCGCCATAATTGTTTCAACATGAAAACAAAACGTCAAATTTAGCGCGAATAGAGAAAATATACGGTACGAATTGGGACGCTCGCCGGCGTTGATAATAGCAAATAGGCGAATAAAAATAGAGATGCATTTTACGAGAGTCGGTTCAAATCGTTGCGAATATATCTTACGCGGAACGATGAGAGATATTCGCGTTAATGCGCGCATGGAAATCTCCTTCCTTCTCTCTTCTTTTTTTTTTTTTCCTTTACTTCTCTCCAGCGTACGAAGTAGTTTCTCCCGTAGCCGGTATAAATTAACATCGAACCTGCTTTTGACGTTCACTGCTCCCCGTCTCCGTTTTTTTCCCTTGCGCCGCTTTTCCTCTCTGTCTCGTAGGCGAATCAGGATAACGAGATTTCTACCTGTGAGCCCCGTTTTCATTCGCTAAGTACTCCTCGCCAGCTCGTTACCGAATGATACCGGATAATAAATAATTAAAAACAGATAGTCGGAGCGCGTCTACCGTTCGTTACCAGCGCGAAATTGCCGACGATTTTTTCTTCGGGGGAGAAAACCAGCTTCAATTCAGGCGCGCCTGCGTTGACAATCGAACGCGACACGATCGACGTGTAGTTGATCCCCGAATATTCATACTCACGCGAATAAACGATTCGTTAGCTGATCAATCTCGATTTATTAATACAGGGATGCTCGGTTGAAATTCCGCGTAATATCGTTTCACACCTTACTTTAATACCAGGCACGCGTATCGGAGCATTATTTGCACAATCTTGATTATAATTTGCGAATAATATCGGGTTGATTAAAACTCGTCGAGCATTCACGTATCATTTTCTACGTGGACTGAAATTTCACTCACGTCGAGTTTCTTCTTCGCTACTCTTACACACCTCTCCCCTAATAATTCCGTCTTGAAAGCAACACCAGAGACTCACGCGTAAGTTTCATTCTCTTCCCCTTGGTGTTTACCGGAACACTTCGATCGTCGTTCCACGAGATGGACAAAAGCAAGCAGCTCCTTCGCTTGTTGTTTCAGCGACAAAGTTTCGAGCTCCTTTACGGCTCCTATCCTTTGATGCATAGTATCACTCGATGGCAAAACATTCTGTTCAAAGTATCTCGCGGAACTAACGAAATATCGGTTGAATACTGCATAACGTTCTTTCGTTATCTCGTAAAAACAGAGTCAATCGATATCCGAGTGTATCTAGTTCTTCTTCAATCTGCAATTAACGACACTTTCTTTGCTCGGGACATTCGATCAGCGAGCGTAAGGAATTCCTTTTTCGAGCACAGAGTAAATATCCTAAATCGTGGATCTTTCTCTCTCTCTCTTGCTTTTTCGTCCCTTTCGTCCCTTTTCACTCGTCTCTTGTCCATAGCCTCGCGAGAGAAGTCGGCTCTCTCGCACACACACACACACACAGGCAGATAATAAACTCGAAACAATACGACAAGCGACGTTCCTGCACGACACGAACATGCTTTCAGCTTTAAAGCACGATACCGCCGAGTCGCCACTCGCCCCGCCGCGAGGAAAACTATTTCATAACTGGGTCGAGCAAGTAGGTGGACCATGGGTACATGCTAGCTGCCGGATAAAAGGGTGCGTCGTGGAAAAAAGACGGTCCGTGTAGAAACGGCTTCTCCAGGTTTTCTCTTTGCCTCCTTTTACCTGGACCCCTCAGAAGGAAATTACACATCGAGCGAGGGTGGTTAACGATCTTCTTTTTCCACGCTGGAGTTTAAAAAAATCGTAACTTTTCATTTTGAAGTTAGGTCGGAACGAGAAATTCACCCGGCGGCCACTGTTCTCTTTCGTTTAAATGGAAAGTTATTCGAAAATTTTTCTAGTCGAGTTTCCACAGTCAAACGGGGTAATTCTCTGTCGCGTTAATATTTTATGCTCGTACGGTTGTAATAGTTTGGAAATTACGCAGACGGGGAATTTATTAAAAGTTCGGTAGAACGGTTTAATTGCGGAAAAGAAAATTCTAATCCCCGACTATGTTAGAATGGTTTAAAAAGAAAAAAGAAAATTCCAATCCTCGACTATATTAGGAATGCTTTAAAAACGAAAATCTGAATCTTCAAATATGTTAGAAATGGCTTAAAAATGAAAAAGAAAATTCTAATCCTCGACTATGTTAAAATGGTTCAAAACCGAAACGAAAATTCTAATTCTCCGCTATGTTAGAACGGTTTAAACGCGTTCTTTGGTATGAGCGCGACGTTATACGGAAAATTTCGTATTCGAACGGGATAATTCTCCGCCAGGCCAATTACTTCTGAATACACGTGGAATTAACTTCCTCTAATTGATATTCGACGAGCGCTTGCCGCAAATTACGCATATTTCTGTCACGAACTAGGCGTCGCGTCCCGAACTCCGCTCGGTTGATCTTTAATGCGAATTCGCCCCGGTGATACGGCACTATTCAAATCGTCGACGACGGAAGTAGGAGGTAAGAGGAACGGTTACCTATGGAGCAGACGCGCTTCCCCCGTTCCCAGTGAAACAATGAGGGGTGCTCGACAAAGGCGGCAACAAACTCGACAACTCATGCCGTCACGATGTCGCCGTGTCCAACAGATGAGGAATACCGATAAAAGACGATTCGTTGGGAAACGCTTCGCCGAGTCGCGCTTTTATGGCGCGTCAACAATGCCTGTGAAAGCCCGGTGTGGCTCGTTTCTCATTGTTTCATCGGAACAAACTGCGACAGGGGGTTCTTAATAATCGTAACTCTCTCCAATAGCCACTTTAACGTTTTCTCTTTTCTTCCTTTCTTCCTTTTTTTTTTCTTTTTTTACACAAACTGATAAATTCAAGAGGTATTACTTTTCTTCTTCGGGTCAAGTAAACGTAACTTTGTACATTTCCGAGCGTACGTGAGAAGAAGTTGGCGTGAATTTTTGCGCAACGTTATTAATAATCGAGTTTGAAACAGCTATTTTCAGCGAAATTGAACCGACGCGACGCGGCCTTTCTCACCGTGGACTCGCCTTTTTCTTCCTTTCTTTTATAGGCAAATAAAAGTTCTGTCTTTCTTTGCTCCACACGCCATCCATGTAAACGACCTACTTTGATTTTGGTTAGCCGTACCTTCGCGCACAGTGGCAAAAGCACAGTAGGGGAGACTGTAAACCTACGCCTCGTAAATTCGAAAACTTCCAACCGAGTGTCCGGGCCCGCTAACGTTCTTCGATTCTTTAACAATATGACCCCGGCATATTGCAAAAGTAGCGGGGAACTTCTTAAAGTGCTCCTCGGGAAATCGTAATCGTTCTTCGGAACTACGGGGCCCGAGATTAGGGCGAAGCATTCCACCACCGAGGCAAGATTACCCGTCGTTATTTCTCGCTGTTCCCTCGAATCGCGACAAAATAATCGACAAATTGAAACTTTCACAGCAATCACTCGTCCCCGTTCACCAAGAAATCATTCTTCAATTTTACGAACAATACAAACAAAACAAAAGGAATATCATGCCTCGTAAAAGTATTATAAAATCAATCTTTCTTCTAAAACTTCCGTTTACTTTTTTCTTTCTCTATGTGTACAACATGCACGATACGAATAAGAAAAACTTGCAGGAAAAGTGGTTAAAAATTGTCTGGAAGAACACAGGATGGAGAAGTGAATGGAAGAAATTAAGCTACGCGAAAGTTTACGAGCCGAAGCAGTTACATCGAGAGTGAGAGACGAACGGATGATACTACCTTCTTTTGCCTGCACGTATCCGTGCACCTCGCAGTAACTTCCGGCGGAACCGGCGGCGCCAGGCGTGTCCAAAGTGAACAGTGTGTTCGCCGACGAGCTGACCGCGTCGTCTGGCGTCTGCAGACTGGTGGTCTGCGACGGCGTGCGCTGCTGGTGACGGGGATGATGATGTAGATGATGTTGCTGCTGTTGCTGTTGCAGCTGCTGTTGTTGTTGCTGCTGCTGCTGCAGTTGTTGCTGCTGCTGCTGCTGAGCCGCGAGAGTCTCGTCGTGTCGACATTTCGAGCAACGACGCATCTCCGAGCGAACACGCAACAGCCATACCAAGCCGAACAGTGCCATAGCAATCTCGAGTCTCGGTGACCTCGATGGGTGCTTCATGCTCGCTGAGTCAAGGTCATCGAGGCTCCAGGAGCCAACGCGATGCATAGCACTGAAATATCTGCGAACGAGCCCTTTCTTTCCCTCTTAATCGCAAGTGTACACCCTGATTATTAGGATGAACGTGGCTTTTTTCCCTTATTTTTCGCACCCTGTATCGATTTAGATTCCGTGTACGGGTAAATTGGGACTTTTTCGAAGTTCAGAAATATTGCAGATTGATTCAGATTAGTTAAGTTCGAAGAATTTTCTCTTTCGGATACTTAATTCCAAATTTTTTTTTTTTTTTTTTTTTTTGGTTAGTTTGTTATTTCTTCATCTGATTCTTGCAAAATTCGAATGTCAACGTTGGCAAGATTTTTTGCGAGCTAGTTTATTCCTCCGGTAGTCTCTGCTCCTCGAACGTCGTTATTTCTCTCTCAGTTTCTCCCTTCGAAGACAAACAACCGTTCGTAGGAATTGTCCGAGTGCAATTTTTAACCGGAGACTCGCTCGCATCAAGGTTTCTCTCGCAGCTAATGGAACCTATCCGCCGCAAATTCTTCGTCGCTTTACCTCCATTCTTCTCTCGGATCACCCAAGTATCAAAGTAATCCTACTTCGTCCCCATTTCAGGGTTGAAACGGTGCCCGCGTTTCCATCGATTCGATACCTAGCCGCTCGCTCCCAGCTGAACCAACACGCTCGTCCTGCGAATTTGTCCAGATGGAGGATCCTGAACAGCGTCCTGCCCTTCGTCTGTCTTCCACATTTTTCACCGACAAAGGGACCAAGCGAGATTCGTCAGGATTTCGAGATCGAACCGCTTTCTCGTTCGAAACGCACGATCACGTTTCTGGATCAGATGAAAAAAAGAAGAACTGGCTTACTTCACTTTACCGCACGGAGGCAATAAGATCCAAATCTCGAACAGCAGAGTTCACCGATCGAAGATCCTAGAGGATGGTTTTCTTCCAAAATCGAAGGCACGTTTGTCGGGAACACTCCAAGGACCCGATAATTCTCCGATCTTCCGTTCGGCACACGTCTTCATTAACAAGTTGGACCGATTCGAAATCGAGGTGTAGATCCGCCGCGAGCGACGTTAACGATCGAACGAAGTCTGCGACGTTTTGGTCGGGCAATTCTCTGTTCGTGGCAAACGATTACAGCTAACGAAGCCAGGAGGATAGAGGGCACGCTCTACCGGTCACGCTTGGTCCCGCTGAACGGTTCACTTGGAAAAGTAGGAAAGATTCGCTGGAGGTCCGTACTGCCGGTGGGTAGCAACTTCGTCGAAAGTTTCCAACGAATCGACCAGAGAGAAGAGGAGAGCAGCGGTATCGTTGCTCCGTCCAGGAAGTTTCTCGTCCACTTTCCGTGGACCATGTCGCGACTAGCTGGTCTAACCACTGTTGCCCTACAGCCGTTTCAATCTCTGCGTCTGTTTTCCCGCGGCGATCCTCCTGTGCGACCCATCGAGTTGCGCGAGCCTCGCGTCTTTTCAAAGGCGGACCCCTGGAACGACGCTCCACTCCCATGGAGACGCCACTTCCGGCCAGCGTGTGCTCGTTTCACTTGATACGCATGAGCGGACAAGGCTTCTTTTCGCCGGTGACAGGTCGAACGTTGATCCTCGACGATAACGCGATGCCGCCCGGAGACGCTGCGAACAGCTTCCAAAGAGGTTTTGCGCCCGTCGAAACCACTGGACGGGAACGCTCGATAACTGATGGGACTCCTTTTATCCGGGACCACCAGACTTACTCGTTCATTCTTTCTATTTTTCTCTCTATCTCTCCTTTCCTTCCTTTCTCTCTCTCTCTCTCCTTTCGTTGGATGAATTCTATTAGGAGCTTCTCCGATGGTTCCTTTCTTGTGTTGGCCTGCAAAAGTCACGGAGGAGGATGGCATCGAGCCTGGCGAAAGATATTCGACCGACAAAAGGAAACACATTCGAATACGTTCCATGTTTTTTCCTTTATGTTTCTCGTTATTTTTTTTAATTCGTCGAGATTCTGATACGTCAGAGGAGGAGGATCTTTCCGTGTTCGTCCGATACGGTAGCCGCGCCTAATAACCCCGGCGTTTGATACGGCGAAACGAGATCCCAGGTTCGCGGAAATGGAAGTTCGATTCCGTTTTGTTCACAGGCAAAATATTCCGATATCTCTGTCTCATATTCCGGCCGCGATACTCTCGCTGATTTTATCTCGCTCTCCGTATTTATATTACACGTATTAAAATTGTGTATATACATATATATATATACACCGTTAGATTCCTTTGCTCTATTACTCCACGAAGAACTATTTCGAATACCGCGTCACGATGAATTTCGGAATTTACAGCAATTAACTACTCTCCGAGCAAACTATTCGCGACCACTTTGATTCAATCCCGTTGTCCAATTTAACTTTGCCCAACGAAACAATGGCATTTTCTTCCATCTTCCGTTTCGCCAAAGACTCCGCGAACTTCCAAAGAGAACTCTGTTCGATTTTGTTATTAGGCGGTTGAGTATCCTCGTTTCGCCGTGGAGGCAAGAATAAAGTTTGATCGAAAGTGAATTACTCGCGTTTCGTAAGGTGCGCGAATATAAACGCGAGATACAGGAATATGAAACCGAACGAGAATTCCGCGGATCGACTCGAGAACGTCGTCGAGTTCGAGAAAAAGAGAGAGAGATATAGAGACAGACGTAGAGATAGGGTTGTAAATTGTGACTGAGGGAGATCTCGAGGCAACGGCGTAGTGGAAAACACTTGTACGTTCTTCGAGTACTGACTGCTGGCGCTTCTCGTCACCGCGACGCAACAAGATGCTCGTATCTGTCACGTACAAGTAACAATTAAAACTTGAATCTTCGGCTCTAGGGGTTGCTTGTTAACGATGTTTCACCGTTTTCGAACAGCGCGACGTCGACGACGCGCTCCGCGGAAATTTTACGCGACGATGTTTTTCAGGGAACAGGTGGAAAGTTGGAGATGTTCTCGACTACGAACGACACCTGTCAAACTTTTCCAAGCTTCACGTTCGATCTAGAATGTCGTTTATTTTGTATTTCACGACTACGGGGGCTCAGTCTCAATCCTTCTAATTTTTATTTTCCAATCGTATTCCAAAATGATTCCAATGTTTTTTTTTACCCTACATAGTACAACAGGCATTTTTTTGCGAAGAAGCCTCGCTACGGAAATACAGCTGTCGTTTTATCTCGCAGATTCTGCAAATGGATCGTCTAAATCAATTTTCTCAGCGCCAACCAACAGAAACGAAACTGCAGACTGGTAAATGGTCGTACAAGATCGATCGAATAAAACAATGAATCGTGGACGAAAAAAAAAAACGTCTAAATGGGTATCGATATGGGAGGCCAGTTAATACCGGAACGAGGAGGCATATCCTTTCGAACGAGAGCGTTCAATTGAACGACGCGCGGAGCTTTTTGTCCGCTCTAGGCACATGCCATCAAACGCATCGCGTGTGGATAAATAAACCGCGAACGAACGCGATTATAACGGGGCTGAAATATTGCAGCTGGCTGCACGCGTCACGCTGCCGCAGTAAATCACGGCGATTGCGAACCGCGAAATAATGCATCGGCCCGATGAATGGACGTTAGGGGCCGAGGAATCGTCCGACAAACCGCCGACGCGATGAACAATTCGATTGAAACGGTCTGTGATGCGCGATTAACGCGACGATGCTCGCGGTACCAGCCTATCCTCCGTGATTCTTTCTTGTAATAGCACATGTTCCCGGCGTAATTCATGCGAAAGTGCGTTTCGATGCAATTAAGGAAAGCTGAGTGAACATCGTTCTGTGGAGATTGATCTGTCCACCGTGAAGTGTTCAACGATGGTCCAAGATTGTGGAGGAAAAGTTGCGGTGTTTCTATTTCTTGTATTTTGCGATTCTTGATTTGTTTTTATGGCTAGATTAATTTCATCTTTGTTCGTTTCGAGAGTGAGAATTTTGTCTCGGTGGGAGAATCGAAGTGAAAAATTATGCGACAAGGGAACATTGTGGAGTGATAATCACAGATACTGATGAAACTTTGGTATATGGTAGTGTTCAAAGGAATATGTGACACGAATTTTTTTATCAGCTATCGAGCACGTTGAAGGAGTGAAAATCGCCCTATTGTTGTTTCAAATATCTGAAGATTTCCTCAAATTATCTTCCCAATTTCCTAAATTACCTAGACACAGTCGAAAATCCTCCAAATCATAAAATCGAGGCCACAGAGTCGCGCGATATTCGAAATTTACAAAAACATCACCACTAGCCTGTGAATCATTGTCTGTCGAACCGAACGAACTTTCGCCATTCAGACTCGTCTAAAAAGCTGCGCAGCGAGTAAAACGACCGACGAATACGTGGGAAAATGCATGACGCTGCACGTCATAATGGTTCTCGTAGCAACAACCCCCGGTGAACCTGTTTTCCTGCCGCGAAGTTGAAAACAGGGAAACGGAACGAACGAAGTCGGGGCGGCGCCTGAAGTTCACGGATGAAATTAGCGGAAAAGCCAGGGGGAGTGAAACGGCGAAACGAAACGCGTGGCGAGTCGAGTCGAGTCGGTTCAGCGCAATTAAACGCGACGCAAGGTCGGGCGAGCGAGTTGTTTCGCGCAATTGTACGCCGCGCGCGACCACCGCCGCCTCCCTGAACACACGGGGTTACACGGCCGGAATTTATTTCGATTCCGCGCAGCGCAAAGTATCCGCGACTTCGTCCGCGATGCATGAAAATTTATGATATTCTCGTTCGGTCGGTCGGCCGTTCGCGCGAGAAATTTATTCGGTGCGCGTTATTTAAAAACGTGGCTCAACGGCACGGAACGGCTCGGTTCTCGTATGCGTCGGTCGTAAAAAAAAATAAAAGAAAAAAGAGAAAAAACGATATTAAAATATTATCGCGGATTCGCGTTCTGTGTCATCGTATATTCAATCCAGAGAAGGCGAGTGTGTGTGGAAGAGGTACCGACGAATCCGGTGGGAAAAACGCGGAAAAATCCCTGATAAATCAATACCTCTAGAAAAGTACGCCTCTTTCAATTTCCA